ATAATTTTCTCTTTTTTTTTTCTTTTTTCTTCTTCTGTTTTTCTGTTCTATTTACATTGCAGTGTCCATATAAACTGTAAAACTCCCTGCATAATTATAATAAAGCAGTTTATATGCATGAAACAAGTGGAACAATATGACAATTGCCATACTGCTACACTTGTGAAAGTAAAATCTGTTCGGCTCTTTTTGGCATCAAGACAATTATTCTTATTGCCACATTGTCGGACAGGACACTGTTAAAAAAAAAAATGGAATTATCACATTTTAGCGATATAATTTTCACATTTATACAACTTATATGTTTTATCAATATAATTATCATGATTATAATTATTATTACATTAATACAATATAATTATCACTTTATGCAATGTAATTATCACTTAATCAATATAAATATCACATTTAATCAATGCAATTATCAAGCTTATAAAAAGGAATTATCACATTTATACATTATAATTATCATGTTTTATTATTATTAATATCACATTTATACAATATAATTATCACGTTTAATCAAGATAATTGTTAAGCTTATAAAATGGAATTATCACATTTAATCAATATAATTATCACATTTAAAAGAAAAATTAAATAAATTTTTCCCTATTAGTCCATCCTTTGTTCTGTTCCTCTGTTCTGTTAGTTTTGTATCTCTTAAGTTATTAAGTTATTAAGGGGCTCTCTGCTGCCCCGTTGTGCCTGTTTCCTTTTCCCTTGGCTCCCTTCTAGTTAGTTCTATCCACACCTGCTCCATATCAGCTCATTAGCCCATCCTTTGTTCTTTTACCCATATAGGCTATACATCACCTCTGCATTTCCTGCTGGTTTCTTGTTGTTTTGTTTCTTTGTTTTCTCTCTGCTCCTCTTGAAAGTTTTTCCTGAAGTTAACTTGATTGAAAACTTGATTTTATGTTTTTGGACTGTGCTTCAGTTGCTTGTGGGTACAACAGATTATTAGGGCCAGACAAGATATATTTTTTTAAAAATAAAGTCATAACATTATAAGAATAAACTCGCAA